CATGTAAACGTATCGCCTCTACAACATTCTTGGCAAGGAGTTCCACAGCTTAACTCTATTCTACATACAGAACTGCCTGTGTTTATTTGGAATAACAAGTACTACTAGCCCCAGTTACAAATCAGGACACCAAAATTGCATGCAATTGCTGTGCCCATTTTACTGCTACGGTATACAGAAATAGCATCAGTAACCTGCTCTTATGCAATTTTCTTCCACTCATCCATTATGAGATTGCTTAACCATTTTTGCTATAGTCTCATAACAATTCAAACTGAACTGACTACTATAACCAGCCTCTGGTTATAGTATAGATACTCTGAAAGTATCTAACTTTCAGAAGTCAGTACTTTCTAGAATACAGTCCACCAAGCTGTAGTTGTAACCTACATTTTTAGTTACTACAGGCATGTTACATGTTACTTTGCCCATGCTACAGAAATTTTTAGGCTGAACACCCAAAGCTTTCAAACAATCCAAAGAATTCTGTGTGACTGCTTTTTTTGGTCACTTGCTTACAAATTCTATCACCAGTGATTGTATATTACTGGCCTTTACTGATCCCTGAAGCACTTAGATCACTGTACCCTATTCAATGGTAATTCTACACCAACAAGTACTCTCTGAGAACAGTTAGCTGTTCTTAATCCATTTTACATATTCTCTACTGTTACCATAGAGTGTTATTTCAAATGAAAATATACAGCACTAAGTCAAATACTGCTTACATAAATCTCTCTATATAATCACCTTCATCAGGCTTGTAATGGCCATAAATTATTATATCAGGCTTGTCTGACAAAACTTTGTTTTTCATAAAATCACTTGCACTGTATGAATTACACTCATTGTTTAATTTTTCAGCAACAGAACCATATTTATTCTTTCCCACTGTTTTGCGGAAGATGGATTTCAAGCTATGTGACCAACAGTCACCTATTTGCTCTTTTTGAACACTGGAACTCATTAGCACTGTTCTAGTACAATGGCATATGACTGGTATCCCAAGATTAACAGCACTGGGGAAAAATCCACCCCCCCCAATTCTTGTAGGTTTGTAGAGTGCAAGTTATTCAATCCTACTCATGTAAAGATGTTTATTTTTAGTAGGTGTTGCTTAATATCCTCCTCACATAATAATGGACTGGGAAGTACCCCATTGTTCTCATATGATATGATTACATCACGTTGCTTCTTTCTAAATGCAGAAGAGAAACAGTCATTAAAAATTGTCTTTTTTGTCATTTGCAATATTAGCATTTCCATCTACTAAAGGGTCTGTAACACAAATGGGATTTATTAGTTCTTAATACATTAAGTTATACATCTTATTGGCTATAATCCTTTCATCCATGTTTTTTTTTCTTGACAGTCTTAGCCTTCTTTATCATTTTTATCACTTTATAATTCCTCATTTTATAACTATTTTCTACTCCTGAGCCCCCACTTATGTTTTGTTTATTTTTAGTTGCTGTTTTTACTGGTGAACAGATTGGTTCTTAGTCAGAATTGTTCTCAAAAATTTTTAAGTTGTGAAATTGTGGGATTTTGGCCAATTGAATTTTAAAGACATACCACTTCTCATTCATAATATTACTTCTAATAATTTGATTCATTGGTTCTCTTAACACTGATATCTTTAGCCTTTTTAATTAATCAGGAATGTAGTCCAAGCAAGTACTGGTTCAGTCTATCCTCTGTTAATCAATACTGAACAAAATTAGGCCATGATTATTGGTTTCTAGGCAACAACTAATTTCCAATTCATTTAATTAATTAGTCTTTATCTATCCTAATTAGGTCTAAAATAGATTGATTGTTGTTTGGTACCATGTCTTTTGTATAATCTACACTTTTTACAATGGCTAGTGATGATTAGCTATACAGGATTTCCAACATAGGCCCCACAAACTGAACTTCCCCCATAACATCGCAATTTTTTCCTTCCACCATGGGAAACTATTATTTAAAATATATTCGTGAAGAAAATAGTGGTGAAACAAAAATTAATCTCCAGATGTCAGGAAGAAGCACAAGTATTTAAGCAACAAGCTGGTGCATAATCTCCTGTTCTTTGGCATGCAAATAAAAAGATAAGAAATCTGTTCATAGACAAGCATGTGTTGTTTCTAATTCATAAAACAATGAAAAGCATTCAGTAGCCTTTCATAAATCAGTATGCATTAAGCTACCTTCTTTTTCCTGCTATCTGCCTCTGACATCCACTCCAACCCTTCTACAACTATTGTCAAAACACCCTTCTCCAACTTCATCCTTCCACCTACTGCTTTCCTTCCCCTTCTTTTGACTTGTGCTACCACATAACCTCCTGAAGTCTCGCCTCTCTAATCCCTGTCAGTAACCACTCGCTATGCAACCAGCTCTACGCTTCTGGAAAACCCCTCCAGGAGTCTCCATTTAACTCAACTACTCCCCACTACCTCTGAAGATATTTGGAAATTGTTTCATTTTTCAGAGAGGAAGCTGAGATCTTGACCTTGTGATTCACTTCTTGTTGCAGTAATTTTACTTCTCCCATACCAAATGGCTACTGCCATTAGAATTAGTTGCCGTCTATCTGTTTAAAACAGGGTTTAACAAAGTTGTTTGTCAAACAAGGTCAGCAGTTGACTGACCTTGATTACTGATGAAAATGAGGAATATTTTTTTTCCTGCAATGTTGTTAGATCAATAATAATAATATACAACAGGGAACTATTTGTATAGGAAAACCAACTGTAGTAGTATTAGAAGCTCAAGTGACAGTCAACACTCCACCTATCTCTACAAACATGAACCCCCTACGTCTTAATGCTCTCTTTATTAAGTCAGCATAACAACCGATAGCCACCACAGCTCAGAGAGCAAAGTTTTAAACTTTTTCTTCAGACTGCTTTTACCATTTAGGTTTGACCACATGATTTGCAAGCAATCTGGAGACAGCCTATATGCTGGACCTATGTCAGGCAACTAGCAGCAGGGGCTGCTGAGGCCATCACCTAGCCATCTTGTGACCCAGCTGCATGCCCAACCTATTCTATCTTTTACAGCGAAGCAGCAGAATGAGAAAGCCATTGCCTATTATCCACTTACTGAGTGGTTACCACCACTCTCTCCCGAGTCTCCCATTTTACCCTTCCCTTTCATTTGAAACTTTTGTTGTGAAGCCAGCCAAAGTCCAATGTGAATTTCTGACAGAGGAAAAAAATTAATCCTAAATACAATGAAATTCTAAAAAGATACATTACTAACTTGAAAAGGCAGCTGTTTGTTACAGACTAAGATTACAAGTTACTTTTTTATTTATTACAGTGAATACTAAAAGTTGGATTGGAATAAACACAGGCTTTTGCAGTTTTGAAATTTAATTCAGTGGAAGCATGGGTCTAGCAACTCTATAATAGGCTGGGTTTTGCCAGATACCTACCTTTTGGCACGTTTGAATGTATATGGTTGTTTCTCTGCAGTGTCAAGGCAATTAACTCATGTTTCCAAAGCAGAAGTGTTCCCTGTTTTCTTGGTGGACTTTATGTCACAGCCTTGGAATAGTGTCAAAGTTGTTTCCTATACAGGTAAAGTTTCATGCCTACGATGGACAGCTGCAAAAACAGAAAAGATGCCTTTCTCCAGGTTATCTTTTCTATTCCAAAATCAGGTCTTTACAATAAGAAATGTGAACATGAATTTCATAGAATCATAGAACAGTTTGGGTTGGAAGGGACCTTTAAAGGTCATCTAGTCCAACCCCAATTTGATTCAGAAGGCTCCATGAAGCCGATACACAAATTAGCAGACAAGTTTGATATGTTAGCACATTAAGATGTTTCAGAAGCACTTCAGAACATACCCATTAGTCTTCTATGTTGAGTGTAGTTTTAGCCATAAGATGATCTGCCTTAATTATTGCCTGATGCAGACTGAGGGAACTGTGTTCTACAAAAACAAATTACAAAAAATCCTATTCTTTGGGACAGGTGTAGAACATAACACTTTCATTTGTGGTCACAATGTGGTTTAGGTTTTTCTCCTCCTTACACACATGGATATCCAGCTGATGCTAACATAACTGTACAATCATGTAGGCATTTTCACATACATGTAATAGCAGACATTCTCCTGCACGTCAGTATCTTAGTTACTATATACTGTATAACACACACAGTCTAAAGAACAGCAAAATAAGTCAATTAAATTATCATCATTAGCATCAGTACTGTCCTAAATCTAACTTTTAAATCATCACATAACTTTTTATTATGACATATTTTTGTTTATAATTACTACATTTGCAATTATCTACCTTGATCTGAGACTGCTGGTTTATGCAGAGAAAGGTCTCCCTCATGTGGAAATCTGCCTACCAGCTATAAAATAAAAACCTGCAGTTTGCTTCTTAATAAAGGTTCCACTGCTTAGATTTGCAGATTCATTTTTGGAAAGTATCACTTAGTATGTTTTTTTACAACATTTTAGTTCATCGGAGCTATCATTACAGTGTGAAAGGAAAAAACCTTTGATAAGATAGGATCGCAAGAATTTAAACACGTTTAGAAAGAAAGCAAAATACTTCCAAATCCAGTCAGAATGTAAGGGAAATTGATCTAGGCAAAATTCACAGGTTTTAGGATACTCTTGCATCCATCAGTTTCCTCAGCTTTCCTTTATACCTCTTCTGAATACCGTTCAAGATGTTCTTATATGTGTGATTTTCATGTATTGCCTTTTCATGACCCAGCAGAACTGGGGTCTAAAACTGTAACTGACTATGAGAGTTAGAATTGACTTAATTATGTGGTCTGGTAAGACTATATAGTTAATATATTTTGGCTACAAATATTTATGTTTCTTCACATCCATAACTAGTGTGGCTCAAAAATAAGTCCTGTCAAATTTTCCATTTCAGGAACTAATTAAGCTCCTTTTTCCCCATCAGTTTATATGTTTTAAAAGAAAAACACACAGAAATAAAGTTTCAACTGAACATAAACAATTGTGGTTTTTTCCCCCCCTGAAACACATAGATTTGGCCCAAAGTAAATGCTTTCAGTTTTCTTTTGCGAGAAAAAGAGGAAGTCTTTTGAGTTGACCAGGCACATTTTCTTCCTTTGCTGTTGAACAAACAAATAAAAATACCAACCATGTTTACAGCTACGGTTCAAATGTCTAAAATATATTAGCTAGTAACCAAAATTAAAGTTTGTTCATATACATGTTGTAATACCAAAACCAAAGTAAGATATGATATCTAAAGGCAAAAAAAGTGCACTTGGATTAGCAGTTTTATTTGGGTGGTGTAGAGTTGGCTTGTAAGACTCATTTTTCCTGATCGTGCAGAAAAACTGCAAAACAGTTCCTCAATTACTTTCACACTCCCACAGCTGAAATCATTGAATCTATGAAGCTTTTTTGTAGCACCTCTGCATGCCACACTGGAAAGGAATAGGAAAATCTTGGATTGACTTTTATCATTCCCACCGGGGACATCTTCGTCCCTTCCTTCCTTATATGTATCTCAAAATACTTCACAAACCAACTGAAACCATTATAATTGCTCAAGTGTAACTTTTCAGTGCCAGTGTTTATATAATTTGGAAAAAAAAGACCCAGTTTGAACATCAACAAAGAAGAAAAAGTTGTGGAAGAACTGCCAAGGTCATAGATTTTGGCTGTTTTCCTTCAATGAAGGGAAGAAAATGGTAGCTCAAATGGTAGGTTTTTTTTCTTTTTAGTTATACTGTATAAGTTTATAAATGATACAAGAATTTGACATGCATCGGAATTAAGTCTAAAAGTATCACACAAGTATCTCTGCTGTAAAGGTGTCTGGGGCAGGTTCTCAGTCTTGAAATTTGTCAGGAAGCTAGACTGAACCCAAACCATGATGAAATCAACCACACTTCCTCTCCATCAAAGACACTGGTGAGCCATCAATACAATAGAAGAATACAGAAGAAGAATGAATCTGTTTCTTTTATTGCTTGTGGCATCCTTTTTTCCCCCTTCCAGTTTTAAAATTCATTCAAAAGACATAGTTTAAGTGCATCTATTAAAAAAGAAACACAGCATCAACTCCCCATACTGATTAGTATTATTTCATAACAATTAAAAAAAATTACCACCCAAATCCCTCAGCTTCTGCACATTTCAGAATTTTTTCCCTGATGTGTTGAGTGTTGTAGTCCTATGCAATTTTAAAAAAATCACATTTTTATTTATACAATTAAAAAAATCATCAAAAAGTGACACAATTTTCCTAGAGTGATACATAGTTAAGATGTGAAATACACTGACATTTCCAGCTCATTCCATACTTATATGCCATTACAAAGGAACCATAATTTTACTGAACACGTAATCCCTTACTCAACAGGAAAGCTCTCTGGCTTGGTTTACGCTCCAAGAAATTTTGTAGCATATCCATCCCATCCAAAGATCCTCCAGGTTTCAAAATGAGGTTTCTGTATTTCATCCCAGCCTGATAAAAGGTAAAGCAGAACGTTAGTATTTCTTATCCTGCAAACTGCCTCTTTTCTGTATTTGTTGTGTATTTAAAAATCTACTTATGATTAAACACCTTCCCTCCTTCCAGATTTTCTTAATACCAAATCAGGATACACCACAAGTATAATTTAGATCTGCTGGAAGAACTCAAGAGAGCAGAAATTTAACCTAGTCTTGAAGAAATAATTTTTCTTGTGGTTTTACACTGTTTTGGAAGCTACAATCAAAATTTGTCTGGAAGACATTCTATAAAGCATAACACACGCACAATCTCCACACAATCTTCAGTGATGGATTATCCCCATGACTGACTGGCAGGAAAAGGGAACCTAACATCCATTCTCTCTCAATTGATGATTTCTCTTTCTTTAATCTCTGTTTGGAGAACAGAGATGATAGTTCAGAGACAGATAGATACAGCATTGAGGAATGACATGGCACGTATACACATATTATATGCATAGTAGTATATATAACATATACAAACACATCTAACTTCCCTATTAAAGTATCTTAAAGTAACGGAGACTTAACTCAGGTTTTATTTTCAGGAAGAAACATTATTACTTCAGAAGGAATGGATTCCTTTAAAAAGAACGAACCAAGCTTCTGAAACAACACTAAGTAATGAGGACTTTCTTAACAAGAAGTCATATTTTAAAGAACATATCTGGAGAATTTTGGGCTTCTGAGACATGACTATCAATAAGAAAATATTATTTTGCATGCAGATGTCCCAGATGCTTCTGATATTGAAGAAAACAATGTTCTTCCTTTTAGTCACTGTATATACACATATATACTTCCCCTACACGTCAAAGCTATGAGATTACAGGACCACACTACATCCTGATAGCTGTACTGCAAAAACAAGCACAGGTCTTTTTAACTGATGGACTTCCATGACTTAATTGCCTTACCAATCACATTGTCTGAATTACAGCTGGAAAAAACTAAAATGCAAAAAAAAAAAAATTCACTGAAGCATTGCTTATACTTCACTATTTGTGTTAGTTTCCTGAACATCAGCAGCAAATGAAGAAATTGTCCTTGTAGTTTAAAAGTGTTATTTGAGTAGACCTGAGTCTTTGCTGTTGTCTCTCCAGAGCCAGCATATTGCTCAGTTCTAGGGCGACCAGAAGTTATTTCAGATAATGTGGAAGAATTGAGGAGTGTGACAACCAAGTAAGCTAGAGTTAAGTGTTTGCTGAAGAATTTTTATAGATACAGTCTCTGAAACTAGTTTCTATAACTGTTGCTCAAAACAGGAAGAAAGGTTTTATTCTAACAGGAAGAGGTAAGCCAAATTTCTAAAAGCCCTAGTCATAATACCATAACTGTTTTCCTTTCCTGCTGTTCTGAAGACTAGTCTAAATCTAGATACAATGAAATATGAGTAACTACAAAAATCATACTGGTATCTAGTATTTGTTTATAAAACATTGTTTGTCCCATCCTGTGGAACTCTGTTACACTTACATGGAACGCAAATAAGGAGAACAAGTTGAAAGAGAACCAATCTGAGAAGATAGCATTGCTCTGAAGAGGGAGGGAAAATCTCCACAGAGTTAGCCCTGAAGCTACATCAGCATTGAAGCAGTGTATGTGCGCACACATATGCTAGAGAGTGAGCGACATACACACACGCACACACACAAATAATCATTTTTCCTTCCTCACTTCTTAGCCTGGATAGCAGGCTTCACATTAAAAAGAGGCACTAGTTGCCTTTTAGCTGAACCATTGCAAATATCCACTCATAGCATAATTAATGTACTCTCAAAGCCTCCCATACACAGACAAAGAAAACAAAAATCTCCCCCAAAAAATCAGAATAAAAGGCACCTTCATCCCTCAGGAGACGTAAAGGTCACAGAGCAATTCTGGCAAACTATAGCTTAGGGTTTTGACTATACAATCACTCAGAAGAGAGTTTTGAGAGTAGGGAGTAAAGCTAACAGAAAAAAGGTCTGTGATGACACTGGAGGGGTGTGCGTGTGTCAGAACAGAGAACTGACAAAGTCCCACAAGTCTGGCACCAGCACCCTTATCTATCTCTCCCAGCTGCTAGCAGTTAAAAAACCCCAGCAAGTCTGACCCCTCCCCAAATGCCATTTTTAAGATCCATATGAACAGCATTTTATTAAAACGTTATTTTATTCTCTCATTTAACTTGCCATTTCTTCTCTCCTGCTCTTATTTACGAGTGACAACATTCCCACTGAATAAGCAAGTATGCTTATTCTCACATGTACCTGTCATGAATCCCTAGCACTTCAAAATCAATCTTGACCTGTAAACTTTTTGTCACCTTTCAAACTATTCAGTTTGCTGCTTTTCTTCATAAAACCCCTTTCGGGTTTTATTGGCCTAACCACTGCTTCAGTTTTCTAGCCCCTACCCCATCTCCTCTTTGGACTCCTCTCTTTGTCCAGGTCAAAGTCTAATCTTGTTTACTTTCTCCACCCTCTAGAGGGAGGGACAGTTATAGAAGTTCTGGTTGCTGTGATAAGGAAAGGGAGGAATGAAGGCAAATTCCAGGAGAGGAACAGGAAAGTCAAGCACTTTCTACTCTCTCCTTTACTTCTCTCTTGTACACATTTACTGAAGGGAAGAACTAGCGCTGGCTGCTGAATCCAGAACACAGATAAGAGGATCAGGAAAACCAAAAGGTCTTTCCCGTGATAGAACTACAGCATCTCAACTCACAAGTCTAATACTATAATCTCTGAAAAATAAAAAAGGTTGCCAGAATTGGCAGGACTACTAACCACATCACTAACTACCCTTTCTTTCTGCTGGAGGCAGAAGAGACTGGAGAATTGCACAATGGAAAAAAAGCCCAGTAAATCTAGAACCTGTCAATGATTTGAACTTCAAAAGCCACTTGGGAGAAAAACTAAAGGGGAAAAAATTTGCAAGTTATGCTGTGCTGTGAAAGAGAAAGCTAAAAATAAATTCAGTTTTCTAAATAATAACTATGTAAAAGTACCACACACTTGAGGTACTATTAATGGAAATAGAGCATCATTATCATACAGCTTTCACAGCAGAAGAATATGCATCTGCTCCTGCAATGGAAGAATATGTTTTTTCAGTCTAAAATTAAAGAGGAAGGCATTAGTCAATGCAACACAACGTCTTAAAAGTGTCATAGTATAATATTAAATATATGACTATGTAAGAATTGTATCAAAATCCAAATGTTCTTTGAAATTTTAAGATTATTTTCTAAAGTAATTAAGTTATTTATACACCTTTCTTTTGTTGATCTGAACTTGACAGGTACAGAAGCAGTACTTGAGATGTTATACCTATGGATCATGATTGCAATAAATGTGGTTTCAGAGACAAAGTGCAACAAAAGTCTTTAGTAAAAAGTATTCATTACCTACCTTTGGATTCATTATTCCTTCTTGCTTAAAGCAGCTATAAAAAATGTCCATGGAAAACACTTCACTCCACAGGTATCCATAGTACTGACCATCGTAACCACCTGCCAGATGTCCAAAAGTAGCTGGCATGTTTGTTCCTTGAAAAGTAGATTAACATTAATTTAAGTCAAATGCAGTTATTTCTTTGATGTAGACATTACTTCAACGTTAAGAATAAATTAATAAGGAATTTGCATCAACTACTTTGAAACTTCTAACATAAAGGGTCTGAGTATGCCTCAAAGTATTGGCCATATTCTGTTGACTACAAAGGAAACTCAATTTCCCATTTTAGGCTAGTTGCACATTCAACACAGATGTCACAGAACATCTAAAGTGGTATTCACATCATGTCACTCTAAAATATAACCTGCAAAAGGTTAAGTTTTATATTTACCTTAATCTTCCTTCAGAAGAGATCAGTAAGATCACCCCAAGTTTCAAAGTAATTATTTCAGCTTTATAAAGTAGATTCTTTTATAAACAACAACTCATGTTTTTTTGTATGCCAAGCATTATTGGGAAAGAAAGGCATGTTTAATCAAACCATTTGGACATTCTGTATAAAAGCTTCATACTGACATACCTGGGGTGGCAGGAATTCCTAGGGTCTCCACACAGCATTTAGCATATTCATCTGCTGGGTCAGCAGATGGCTTTGTATGCAGCACCTGGTCAACTTTGCTCAAAACAATCTGACGGAGGGTTAAAAGGCCTAATTGGGTAAGAACATTTAATTAACTAGCATCAAAGTAGCTGGAGTTTCTTTAGCACCTTTCATTCAAAGATCTCAACATGCATCCTAAATTACTAGAATTTTAACCACGGAAAAAACTTGGAGTTTTGTCATTTCCATCTGAATTGCTTCAGTTACAAAAAGTTGAGAGGCATATTTTTAATAAAGAAATTGTCATTATAAGCTCCATCTTTTCAAACGTTGTTTTCCTCACAGATCAAAACCAAAATAAAGCAGATATTTTAAAAGCAAATTTCAGTATTTAAAATTATGTTTTCAGCTGTCTTCACTTCCAGTATACCATTTCATTCAGGGCTTGCACAGATGGTATATCTACCCTAAGACACTTCAAAGAACAGCAAGAACTGCTGCTGCAGCTGCTGTAGGCTTTTTTTAAGAAACTACAAGATATTAACCTTTACTCAGACAAAATGCTTATGTAGCTACAGTGCCTGTACACACCAGAAGGACAAGGACTTCTTGTTCAGGATAGGGAAGCAGTATGAAATAAACAGCAGCGGCTTAATGACAAATTGTACCATAAATGGGTAAGACTATGATACTGGGGAGTCCTGATTACAGGGACAGAGGGGTGAGAGTGACAAAATAACAATGAGATGATAGGTAATGACATGGCATTACAATCTCGGTTTGGAGATACATGTAAGGTGGTACAAGACATGGAAGGAGAAGAGAATTGGGACCTTAGTTTGGGAAGGCAGTACATCTGCTGGGAAGGTAGAAAACACGGACTGAAGGTTCTGGATTGAGAAGTTAAGAGGCTGTTTGAGAAATGCAGGGCTACAACACTTCTCTCTGGGATATGCCATGTATGTTCAGTAAATTTGCAAACAACTTTCACGTCTGTCAAGTGCAAATGAAATGTAGATGATACATGTAGAAAATCTGATATTGTATTCACGCACAGTGCCTGCCCTGGGCTACCAGAAAAAAAACAACAGAAAACCCAGGACCTTCCCCCCAGCCCCAATTTTAAATGAGCAAAATTGGTAGGTAAAAAAGTCACATGCAGAGGAATGCAAAGGTATTTTAGTCCTGTGGGTAGCCTGGAAAATCAGAGCTGCTACTGTTCCTGCAAACAGTGGTAGCTCTCATCATAGCCTTTATTAATGGTGGTACCCATCCAAATAAACCCAAAAAGACAATGATAAATATACACACAGAAGCAGTATAATGGGCTTGTTATGTTTGTCTTTAATGTTTCCCACCAATTTTTTAAATTATATATTTTTATACATATACTGTGGTGACTGAAGGCAGAGAGATACCTGTATTAGCCAGCCTAGAGGCAGCAAGTTTCTCAAGGAGAGTGTCTCCAACATGGCTCTCATCTTTATAATGTCTTGACATTTGCTGTAGCGGTTCTTTTTCCCACACCCAGTTCTCAAACATTTGTGAAGGTACCTCTACAAAGTCTGTTTCCACATTAGTTCCACTAAACCTAGCAAAATCAGTCTAAAAGGAAAAGCCATTGTATTATATGAAAATAGAAGCCAGGATTTCTAGCAGAATGTAAACTTTCAGATGCCAAAATTTCAGTGTTAATCACAGCAAAAGGAATCATTTGAACACATCAATAACAATAACAACAATAATAATAATAAAATGAATTTTAAAGAAAGAAGGGCAAAAATTCAGATATAAGACTTTACCAAGCAACAAAATAGATTACTCATTACTCATTTACTGCATTCTCTACTGATGTGAAATGGTGCTTCAGTTTTCTTAATATTATTGATTTCTACCTTTTAGGTTATGAGAGCAATACAAATGTTTCCGTGCTGTTTATGACAATGATATAATTTGTAAATTGTTATAAAATTGTTATTCAGATGCCAAAATTTCAGTGTTAATCACAGCAAAAGGAATCATTTGAACACATCAATAACAATAACAACAATAATAATAATAAAATGAATTTTAAAGAAAGGAGGGCAAAAATTCAGATATAAGACTTTACCAAGCAACAAAATAGATTACTCAATAGTTATTTACTGCATTCTCTACTGATGTGAAATGGTGCTTCAGTTTTCTTAATATTATTGATTTCTACCTTTTAGGTTATGAGAGCAATACAAATGTTTCCGTGCTGTTTATGACAATGATATAATTTGTAAATTGTTATAAAATTGTTATATTACCCCAAAGTAAAATAATAAACTCCAATTATACACTTGTAAAATTACAGTCTACTGCACTGATTGAAAGATTTTGCTTGACCAACTTATCCTATTAAGCTTTGTCCTAACTATCTTCATTCATAAGGCATATGGTTAACATATAGCACAATTTTTTGAGCTTAAAAATAAATGAATCCTAGCAACTTTATCCATGAATGGTCTCCAAATTGTACACTCACTGATAGAAGAATCTTTCTTCTGAAATCCAAGCACATTAGAGCTTTTTATTTTTTACTTTAGTATCATCAGTCACTTCATGTTTAAAAAGCCCCCCTAGATACTAATTTTGAAGAAAAGTTTTGTACAGTTAAAAATCTTCATTAAAATATATTCCAAACCCAAAATATTTCTAAAAAGAAACAGTCACTTTTGAAAGACAGTTGTTCAAATGAGAACAGAAATTATTTGGTCTCACTCCACACTTGTCCTGTAATAGGTCTACCTCCTCTTGCCAACCCAATTTTACTGTTCTTCCCTTCTCAGCAGCATTCTAACAAAACATTTCAAGCGCTAAAAGAAAAAGAGAGTTCTCAGTTTCCCAAATGCCCTTTCTAAGAGCTGTAGATATTCTTAGGTTCCTGCCTCCATCAGGGAATAGATGCCCACAGGAGTACTGGCTTTTGAACTTACTTTCTTGAAGGATTAAAAAAAAAAAAAAAAAAAGAAAAAGCATGTATAATATAGGTCATAACATTGAACTGACAGCTATGGCACGTGCATGTATCTTCCCCTCATATCTTCAGAAGAACAGCAGAAAAGGAGAAAAACATTTGCCTTCATTTACACTTCTGGGTTACTCAAATCCATAGTTGTAACAGGCTTGCCCTTCTTACTGTACTTGCTGAGTAGCAGCTATGAAGAAAAGCTAGGAAGCATCAGCTGGGAAGAAATGGTGATAGAAGTGGCTAGAGCAAAAGGCAAGAGGAGTGCAAGAGTTTGTTGGCCTCCAGATACCCTCATTTGCCCATACACAAGCGCACCACACTAACAAAAAATACTAAGACATTTGGTTCAAGGTACTTCAATAGGTCTCCTTTCCTAACAGCATAAACAGATCCCCTCCCCACCCTGATATCTCACTTTCCAGCAGACCCCCAGTACATTACAATGAGTGTCAGTCTCCAAAAGCTGACCTTTACCAGCAGCTCACAGATTCCCACATACCCTTTAAATGTCAAGTTTTAACATGCTTAAACAAATCATCATATGAAACAACACAGTGCTTTGCACACACAAATCCCAGAGGAGAGGATGTTCTTACGTGGGACTAGCAAGGTATTTGCAGGTGTGTAAATAACAATTTACATAAAATACAACAGCAGGAAGCATGGTAGCTATGCACACAGAAACCATCTCAGCAGTGGGAGAGACAACTGGAAAGCAGGCCTCCCTGACCTGTGTGCAATTCCACAGCAAGTGAAGTACATATTCATTGGAATTGTTGGCTTGGGCTGCCCAGAAGGGGCTCTGCAACACCCAGGCACATCCTCATTGGTTATCAGAATGGTGTGGTCGATTTTGTACTGATGCTGAATGTGTCTCATTTGTAAACACCTTCTAGGTCGTTTAAAAGAACGAACAGGTTTTATTTCTCAATTTTTGAGCTCAGAAACACCTGTCTTAGGGTGAAGATGATCAAATTATAATTATAATTCTACCTTCAACATGAAGCAAAAATATCTAAGCAAGTCTAGCTACTTGTTCTGAAGTTTGCTTGAATGTCATTTGTTTAATTTAATATATGGATTTCTATGACTATGTCTCGTTATTCTGCAGTCCTAGTCTCTAGGATCAAGGTCAAGAGTTAAAATCTAATATCATAGAATAGAATCATAGAATCATTAAGGTTGGAAGAGACCTCTAAGATCATCAAGTCCAACCGTCAACCCAACACCACCATGCCCACTAAACCATGTCCCTAAGTGCCGCATCTACACGTCTTTTAAATACTTCCAGGGATGGGGACTCAACCACTTCCCTGGGCAGCCTGGTCCAATGTTTAACCACTCTTTCAGGAAAGAAATTTTTCCTCACGTCCAATCTAAACCTCCCCTGGCGCAACTTGAGGCCATTTCCTCTCGTCCTATCGCTTGTTACTTGGGAGAAGAGACCGACACCCACCTCGCTACAACCTCCTTTCAGGTAGTTGTAGAGAGCAATGAGGTCTCCCCTCAGCCTCCTTTTCTCCAGGCTAAACAGTCCCAGTTCCCTCAGCCGCTCCTCATAAGACTTGTTCTCCAGACCCCTCACCAGCCTCGTTGCCCTTCTCTGGACACGCTCCAGCACCTTGACATCCTTCTTGTAGTGAGGGGCCCAAAACTGAACACAGTATTCGAGGGGCGGCCTCACCAGGGCCGAATACAAAGGGACAATCACTTCCCTACTCCTGCTGGCCACACTATTTCTGATACAGGCCAGGATGCCATTGGCCTTCTTGGCCGCCTGGGCACACTGCCGGCTCATGTTCAGCCGGC